ATTGCTTCATCCACTCAAAATTACTAAAATTGTTTGTCTCCAACCGTGCAGTCTATAATGATCCGTATACCTATAATTCTTTTTTTTTCAACAAATCAGTCAATTTAAGTAAATGTCAAATCAATTTGGCCAAAATTGTATCCGACTTTAACAAACATTTTCAATTCCAATTCATCAGAAAAATTTTCGTTCCGCCAAGCAATTTCAATTCTAAAGCGTCATTTAACAAATTGCTATCAGAAAATAAGTCCAAATAATTTTCCACTAATTTTGCGATCAGCTAAAACGTTAGGGAAAATAGAGCAAACGGTTATCAGAATCAATGTTGGCAAAGAACGTAAAACAGTTAGCAAAAGTGTCCTCGAAAAGGAAGTTGAAATCAAAAAAAAGTTATGCAAAAAATCTAACGATTTTGAGACTAGAGAGATCACAAAAAGCGTCAAATTAAATTACATGATCAATAAAGTTGACAAGATCACAGTAGGGAACAGTGTGTCAAAGTATCGAAATAAGTATCAGTCCTCAAAGACACCAAGTTGTTGGGAGAATGAACATCAGAAGACAGTCAACTAGCAACACTCAGGAAATGTAATCTGGCCAAAGACAGAGAGGAATTTTGGATTGGGCGTTTTTTTGGCAGGATTCCGGGATGACGCCACTGTGATAAATTACTGTGTCATCATTGAAAATAGTGGCAATCCCAATAAATTTGAGAAAGGCACTCATGAAAGGACTACATCGCACAAAATCCGCAAGGAAAATTATGATCGGCACGGCAGTACATCAGTAGTGACCGAGAGTGCATGGCGAGATAATTGATCAGCGCCAAAAGTGACCTCTGAAATCATTATAAGCATAACCTATTCTAGCATGTCCCAATGAAGAACAACAACGATCTAACGATCCATGAGCACTAATAGCCAGATCAACAGAAGCGCATAAAAGCATAAACTTAGTGTGTAACCGAAAAAATCCAAAATCATAAGACCTCAAACGCAACTAAGCCCGATCAATATTCCTGTTATGAGTGGGATTACCGTGGGTATGGTTAGGTTGAATACTATTCTAACAACCACAAAAAATTTAGGCCCGATGCCACTTGAACAAAAAGATTCGGATGGAAAATTTTTATAAATATTCCCTTCGAGCTTCACATTGGACAGAACATTTAAGCTTTTCTTCGTTGATTGGGAACAATTCAATCAATTCCAATTGAGAGCATCTTGTCAGAAATATGTTGACCCTTGAACAGTCAGATTTGAAAATCAGACTCAAGGCGATACCAAAAAGAGATTCAGTTGCACCACTCAAATTCGGGCTGATTCAGCCAGAGGACAAAGAGTTGCAAGTTATTTCTAGAAAACCTCGCTAAAACAGCTAGTGACTGAAGGCATCTGAAACAACATTTGTCGTATTGAGAAGAGTTCAAAAACGCTAGTGAAGTCGACGGAAATATTTTCAATTCTTGAAGCCAGTCTAAAAAGGAATGAACCAGGGTACACTGAGGTTCCAAAGATAAAAAGACCAGAGCCGTACAAAATTAAAGAGCTTAGAGTGCAATCTTATCTTTTATCCGGATAAAGTGATTATCTTCCCTAAACAATTAGAGCGGATATCGGGAAGCCCGTTTTAAAATTCATTCAAGGGGAAAGTGTCTGATAATATATCACACTTTCATCAATGATAAGGGCAAATTGACGAGAAAAACTCATATCTCTTCAAAACCGAACAATGTTAGATGCAGTTTCTCGTATTTAGAGTTTAGCAAGAAGAGAACTCTCTAATACCAGTAGTAAGCCAGCCAAAAGTAGCGTTATCAATTTCGGCACAGGCTCAGGGGAAGACGGAGAAGAAGTCAGTAGTTAGTTTACCTAAAGATGATATATCTTCAGTCTCATCATCCTCGTAAAAAAAGAGGCAGAAACACTAGTTAAATCATCAAAATATTGGGCCGAAATTTATTTGTCGAGACTAGGAACATCGAAGAAGAAACTTATGAAGAGTAATTTAACAGACCATGCAATTGCCATTCCAGTGAAAAAAAAACCAATAGTGGGTCCCACGTTGTCTTCAGAACGCTCCTCAGAGAAAGCATAGGAGATGTGATAGAGATGAGACAGCTCATCATTAGTTCCCCGATAAAACAAACAGAGGCAGATATCGAGGCAGGATCATCATTGGATCCTCAAAATAGACCACAAGAAATGATTTCGCAATAGTCATAACCCATCCCATTTGTACCACGAAGCAATCGATCCGATCATGCCAGAAAAAACAACGACCCAAAATTAAACGGCAAATCAAACGAGATAGTTAGAGGTCACGCACAATCTCCTAAGTTTATCAGTAGGGAACTCTTCACAATCTGAGGACAAACAGACAACAGACCAGTCAAGGTGGAACTTGAAACGCAGTCATAAACGAGAATCTCCGACGCAATAAGAGGCAAACAAGGTTTTTTGGAAGTTCACTACGCCACATGGTTACACCAGTTGATATGGAAACAATATCACAGTCGCCGCGATGCCACTTGAACAAAAAGATTCGGATGGAAAATTTTTATAAATATTCCCTTCGAGCTTCACATTGGACAGAACATTTAAGCTTTTCTTCGTTGATTGGGAACAATTCAATCAATTCCAATTGAGAGCATCTTGTCAGAAATATGTTGACCCTTGAACAGTCAGATTTGAAAATCAGACTCAAGGCGATACCAAAAAGAGATTCAGTTGCACCACTCAAATTCGGGCTGATTCAGCCAGCGGACAAAGAGTTGCAAGGTATTTCTAGAAAACATCGCTAAAACAGCAATCTGAGGACAAACAGACAACAGACCAGACCAGTCAAGGTGGAACTTGAAACGCAGTCATAAACGAGAATCTCCGACGCAATAAGAGGCAAACAAGGTTTTTTGGAAGTTCACTACGCCATATGGTAACACCAGTTGATATGGAAACGAGATAGTTAGAGGTCACGCACAATCTCCTAAATTTATCAGTAGGGAACTCTTCGCAATCTGAGGACAAACAGACAACAGACCAGTCAAGGTGGAACTTGAAACGCAGTCATAAACGCGAATCTCCGACGCAATAAGAGGCAAAGAAGGTTTTTTGGAAGTTCACTACGCCATATGGTTACACCAGTTGATATGGAAACAATATCACAGTCGCCGCGAGGTTTGCCCCAACCTGAAGAAATTTCACCAGGGCAGAACAAAATGATTCTAAAGTGTCATCATGAGGGATTTTGTCGAGCCCAAAATCACTAAAAAACAGATAAAAATAACAAGGAGGGGCATATTCAAACCAAAACGATTAAAAAGGAAATCGAAACTTGAAAGTTTTGATTGAAATTCGTAATTATTAATTGTTTAGTTTTATCTTTATTGTTGCAATTTTTAAATGAGCTAAGTTTCGTACAGCCTAGTAACCGTATTCGAGATCATAATGCTCACTACTGTTAATTGATACTTGTCAGTGCTAATGAGTTATTCATGTTTCATCTCCGCTGTGAAACTTCGTTTGATTCTATTCACTCTATCTGATCTCAATTCTGAACAAATTCGATAGCCCTATCTAAATACTTTTCGCTATTGTAAATAGAAAGTTTTTCTAATTGAGATTTTCAGCCTTTCTAGAGATATCTTTGTGCGCAGTCCGCAGTTCTACACTTTTATGATATAACAGCTTTTTTGGTACCAGTATTATAGGGGAAAGTTTCTGCAGAACCTCCCTTTTTATTGGAAACGTGGACAGGCCAGTGTTTCTGGCCACTCTCATTCAAGGAAGGATGCGACCCAAGCATTCTATCAGCAGAGAACTTAGTCCTGTTTTCGACAATCCACCACCAAGGCCAGAATTTATACCGCCAACAGAAAGACCAGACGAACCAAATTACAAATTACCACGAGAAACAGCAGCTATCTGAAAAGTCGTAGAAAGTAACGAGGAGAGGTGAAAGAAGTGACCCAAAACCAGTCCCAACCTATTTCAATATGAGAAGGAAAATCGCGTAAATTTGAGACCTTTTCATGCTCGTGGCAATGAAGGAAGAAAAAAATTCCGTCGACAGCATCCTCACACCAACCTTAACAGGGTAAAATTCAGGAAGTTTTACTGCTTATGCGAAATATTTTTAGAAGAGAGAAAAACTACACCTTAGAAAAGATACAGTTTCACACTGCACATCAAGGCGACAAAGATGCCTTGATGTTTCAAATTAACTTTGTCTATCAGGGCAAGCAGCGACATGTGGGTAGATGCAAATTATCGAAAAACAAACTATACAGAGTACGTTCTTTGCCAAAACTAAAATCTCCGATATTCAGATAGGACTTTGCATAAGACCAGGTGCCATGGTCGATGATAGCCTATAGACAGCCCTACTTCACGGGAAAGGATACGCAACAGCCAATTTCCGACAAAAACAAAACAAATTCAGAGGCGCAAAACTCCAATCAAAATTTCTTCAAATTGGAACAAGAACCTACCATACTCGTCCAATCAAAAAGCAACGTACCGAAGACGACAAACCACGCATTTGATAAATCAAGAAGTCAGAACCGCAGTAATAACAAACCACAATTTGCTGCTCGTGGTTATCATTTCCACTGATATACAAAATAAAAATTTGAATATTATCATGAAGATCGAAGTTCTGTGCAACGTTTGCTTGCATCTGTGTAGCTGTTCGATTTTTTCGCAGGTTTTAATAGGTGGTCAATTTTAATAGGTGGGCAAAATTGAACGGCCCAGTTTGCTGCTTAAAAAGCCTAGTTGTAGCGAATAAAACTTTCACAAATCAAATCTAACGATTGAATGCCGCGCTTGTTTTAGTTACAAAACTGAATAATTTCAATGTTTTGCAGAAAATTAAGGGATAATACTATGATTAAAATCAGCATAGGTTTTGGTGATAAGAAAAACCAATCTCAATAAAAGTGAAAAACAAATGAATTCGGAACATTTGTTCATAGCAACAAGAAATTTTCGAACCTTCAAACTATTTTGATTCACCAATAAATCTATAACCTAACTAACAAAACTGTATATCAAATAAAAAGAACTCACATGAAGCGAGATTATAGTCTGTAATAAGAACAGAATCAATCGTCAAATGAAGTTTTTAGAAAAAAAAGATCAGGTTCGCGTCATCTAAGGTCACCCAGAGAATTTGAACAAATTTATGTCCCTCTACCATGTTATTCAATTGAAACCCAATACCCGAGCAAGTTTAGGGCCAGTGCAACTAGGATTCCCGCGAAAAAACCGTACACCCATGTTCGCTTTCTGTTCAGTTCGCTCGATGAGTTTTCTGTTTTGACTAACTCTTCGATTTTCATCCAAGTTTCGTCATCAAGCAGGACTGGTTCATATGCACTTTGAAGGTCTTCAGTTCTGTAAAATATTAAAATATTTATCATTACTCGCGCTCAAAATAGTTTCTCATGACTATATTTTGTCATTACTACCTTTTTTTGAAAACTGTAGTACTATTGACTAAAATCTTAGATTTTGTGTAAATGTTTGTAGATATTGGATATTTTATTAGTTATAAGTTTTAGGAAAACCAATTGTTTTCATACTTTTTCGAGTTAAAGACAATTTTTTTTAATTCTACGTACCTTTTCACAATTGGGGTGCTTGCACCACTTGTTATAAGACTCTCCGTGTCCAAATCAATCGGACTGTCAGTCACATTTCTCTTCCTATCTACCTTCTCTTGTTTCGAAACCGATTTAACAAACCTCGTATGACGTGGAATCCCACTTCCTTTTAGGAAACTTTTCACACTTTGTTCATCAGTCTCACTTCCGGTTTCGAGATTCCTTGAATCAGTTCTCAGAGACGAAGCTCGATTTCTGTTCGTGTTCTGAGAAGATCTCCGTCGTTTCTCTTTTTGTTCTTCCAGATTTCTCGCATACTCTTTTCGTCGGTTGACTGCCGTGATTTTGGCCTCGAGTGTCGCGTCTACAGAAGGGCTGCGACGACGCATCACTATTTCTTCACGTGCCTACAAAATTTATCATCAATTTATAACAAAATTAAAGCATTCTATCAATTTACGAAAAAAAGACCGTTAGTAATCGAAAAACACTTTTCACCCCCTCGGGTTGGCTGTTTTATAAACAAAATTCCAAAGTCACCAAAATAAAGGTGTAGCAGAACTTTTGGCTGTTTACAAGGCCGAAAGCTTTGACTTGAAGCAGTTAAAAGACTATACAGGTTGTTCTGATTGTGCTAACCCGCTTCAGGTTCGGCTTGAAATCGTAATCGGGAGGTTTAGCCATGCAAGAGACATGCAGTCCAATATCTCGAAATGACCTCATAGTCGAAGCTGTCGAAATGACGGAGGCACAGTCGTCCGATATGAAGCCTTCCGAAGCACACAGATCCAAATGACAAGGTCGCATTGCATGTTTAGTTGATCTCACCACACTTTTGGGAAGACGAGAGAGCGGTTTTAATCTTTTTCCGGCTTGTTTCGTTTCCTTAATAAAAGAAGTTCCATGTGTGTGTGTTTCGTTTTCAGATGTCAAACCCTCGTGGTCGATGTGATCAAGTGACTCATTTGACGAGCATACATGTTCGCAGGTTTTGGTTTTTATTCTGGTTTTTTGAGACACAAGGACAGTTTCAGGATTCATTTTGATCAAACTGGACTGCAGGTTGTGCAAATAATTCAATCAAAGGAACCGTGATATCTAAATGTGTTTTCTTAAACCAATTTTAAACAGCATTTTTGAGAAGATCGAATGGATTTTTGTATATTTGAGTATGCCATTCTAGTCTACCATCTTTTTAAAAAGCTCATAAACGGCAATAGATGTATGAATTATGCAACAGCCGTTGTAATCGGTTTGCATGCTTTTTACCACATGGTGCCGTTTTCTGTTCATTGTCCCTAATTTGTCAGTTCCATTGTATTGGTGAAAAAATAGAATTATTGAGTCAAAAACGGATGAGGAATCAAAATGAATCAAGATAGTTTCTTCCTTCTTCCCGAGGATGATATGGATGCAGTACTTGTTTAACAGTTAAATACTGTTCTGTTCCTACTTTTGAAAAAACAAAGTGGCAAATATACGCGGCTAGGGGTAGCTTCAGAGCCTTTGTCCAGTTGTCTCTATAATCAAACTGTAGAGATAGCTTCGAAACCCAAGTAACCCAACGCATACAATTGTGCTAATTTTTTCTACACTTCAGATCAGTTTTCACTTTTGAAAAAAAACTTTTTAATTAACGAGAAAAACATCAATTAACCGGAATAAGTCAAACAGCTCGTATATTGGGCCTTTCTCTCGTGTAATAACCGTCGTCACTTAACTTATTTTCATGTTTTGATATTTTAATCTAATTTATGAAAAGGGTGACGGAATATTTCAGACTATTTTTAACTTCGAAACAGTTTTGCTTAAGAAAATTAACAGTTCTTGTTAACGCCTTTCTTGTGGTTCACTGCGGAATAACTGTTCCCGTTCTAACTTTCGGTTTTAAAAACGTTTGTTCAAATTCTTCAAAAAAACCACCTAGCTAAGGTTGAACTCGTTGCTCAATCTTCACGACTTTTTCTAATGTTTCGAGTTTCGAGAAAAGTTACAGAATATTTGTGCTCAGTAGGAAATTTATCTTGAGACAAGTGTCCAATTTTGTTTAACCACTTTTGAACGAGTTTTTTTAGAGCATCTGAAATCTGATGCGAACTGTTAAGGCGCAAACAGCGGCTTAATTTGGCTTAGATGTGGTTTCCAATTGACTTGAGAGAAAATATCTTGTCATGATGAAACGTTAAAAATATCATTTTGTAATTTACTTACATGTGGTGGAAGATTGTCGAAAAAACTCGGAAAAAACTTAACTTGTGTTTCTTTTTTTGAAAAATTCAACATATTTTAGTATGGCGTTAATTTTATTGGCGTTAAAGGTTGACCAAAACACTCAGGTTTTGGCCTTGATGCGAACAATTTTGTTGTCTTTGATTTTTTTTGCCCTGAGTTTGGTTTTTCTTTCAGACAAACATCAAAATTTTATTTTAACTAGCCATTTTGTCCGTTTTTTTGTCCGAGCTCAAAATTAAAAAAAACTTTGTTGCGACCACTTTCTGCAAATTATGGGTTTGAAAATTGCCAATTGTGCAAAGTTGGGCAATCAACGCGCGCTGTAAATTTCCTCCTACTAAAGCGTAAGCGGCAAATTAAGTCAATCCCAATTGCACTGAATCATTTGTTACAAGACTCTGAACATATTATTATTTTCTTCCCCTAGCATGCATGTATGGCGGGCAATTAAAAAAATTGAGTGAAAATATTTCTTTTATTTGAAAATTTTATTAATTTTTTAACCAAAAAGCTTTCCGACGTTTATCCAAATATCTGTTCTGCACATAGGCCTTTTTTTCCCAAATTTTGGTTTCACCTTTTTAGCG